GATAAAAAAAAATAAAAATAAAGAATGACTGAAACTCGGTGTCAGTTTCCCTGAAGAATGTAAATTCCCATGCAGTGAAACAAAACCTTAGCCAAGCCTGGATGGATTCACTTTCAGGGCTGACTGATTTCAAAATGCAGTGATCATGGATGGTGTGCTTTGGAAAACATCAGGCATTTGTCCACAGTTTTGTTGGGGGTCTCTGAGAACAGGGCAAAGATAAAAAATGTGCACTCAGGAGATGGCCAACTCAGTTTGCTTGGATGTATCAAATGTCATTTCTAGCACTGGATAGAAATATCAATTAAAACTCATTTAATTGATGAAAAAGATAGCAATTAAATAATAATAATAATAATTTGTAATATGTTTATAAAAACTGTGAATGGCAAGCAAACATGTCCATACTCTACAAAGTAGGTTGAAATTTTGCCCTGTTTTTTCTTTGTGGGAGTTGTTACAGGTTGTAAAGGTGAAATCCCCAGTTCTTTGTAACATTGTCTTGTACTCAGAAATAAATGGGGCTATTTTATCCAGCCCACAGCTTTATGGGCTTTTTAAGGGAGGTGGTTCAAAGTTGATTTAAGTAGCTTTAAAGGGGAGGGGAGGTTTAAAAGTCCACCCGACAGCTCCTGGAGTCTTTTACTGATAAAAGTTGGCAGATATTTTCATAGGTTGAGTCTTTTTATCAGGGTAATTTGAGCATTGGAGCTCCTACTCACGCAGCAGAGACTCAGTTGAGACTTGACCCGGCGCCATCTTCCCCGGAAGTCCTCTACAAAGTATGTTTTTGCTTCAGAACTATTGCTTTTACCAATATGTAAATATAATTTTTAGCTTAGTCTATTAATTCACATATGAATAACAATTTAAAATGTCTTTAATAAGTATAAAAGCCTAGACATTCCACATATCATAAAATCTATCAAACCTAATTACTCTCTCACATGCATTTCCACAGAAATGTCTTCAAAACCAACAGAGACACTTGTGGCACCTTAAAGACTATAAAATCTATTATGACTTACATTTCTGCAAACTATAATCAGAAGCCATGAAATGCTTCTCCTGAGTTACAGGTGCACACATGGTTGTGGTATGGTGGAATTATAAACAATGCTGTCAGAGGGAAATTAAATGCAGAAGGTGCAGACTAAATATAAAGTCACTCAGGGCACATGAGCGATCTCAACTAGTGGGTCATGGGATTTAATGGATGAATCCTGTGGTTTCTGGTTTTAAGGCTTAGAATCAAATCAGCCTTCACCAATCTAGTGTCTTCCAGTTGTTTCCAAACTACAGCTCCCATGCTGGTTGGGGTTGATCAGAGTTGTAGTCCAAAACATCTGGAGGGCACTAGGTGGTGGAGGCTTATTTAAATCAACACTTTTGTTTATATGTTCCTCCCATTCCGTGGGGTCTGATATTGTCTGAGGAGGTTCGGTTGACGGTTCTGCCACTGTTTGAGCTATGAGGCTTCTCAGTGTTGGCTCTCTATCTTTGGAACTCACATCCCCAAGCTCAATGTCAACGTTTCAAATGACAGTGAAGACTATTCTGTTTGGAAAATGAGCCTTTTGCTTTCCTGAGCTGGTGCTGAAATTTTAATATTTATTATTGTATTACCATAAAGTTCTGGGATTGTGGCCAACCAGCAATTCAATCTGCTACAATTCTCCCTCAAAGAACATAGAATTGTAGAGTTGGAAGGGACCATGAGGATCATCTAGTCCAACATCCTGCAATGCAGGAATCTTTCACCCAGCGTGGGACTTGAACCCCATGACCCTGAGATTGACAGTCTCATGCTTTACCAACTGAGCTATCCCTCAGCTCAGTAGCTACCTGGCACCATATTATTCAGCTTAATTCCTGTAGACTTGGGGTTGTATCCAATGTTAGTTTACTCAGAGTAGACCCAGTAAAATGAATGGACTTCATTGATTTCAATAAGTCTACTATGAGCCTAACTTAACTGGATACAACTCTTCCCTGAGAGATGGTATACCCATCTGCTGACCTGAGTGTTGTGTTCTCATCTCCCACTGCAGTTATTTTAAAAGGAGTCACCCTCCAGTTGCTGCTGCCATCTAGGCCAGTGGCTGCTTCTTTCCTGCTGGTGACAAAATTATTGTAATTTGGGGGGGGGGGGAGAAAAAGTTTGCTGTTGCTTTATTACATACTTTTGTTATTATGACATTGTTTTGAATGGTTTCATATGCAGTTTTTTGTGGTCACGCTTTTGTTGTTTGAGTGCATATTAAAAGTGGCATAAAGTGAGTAGTGATTATGACCTGTTTGGTTTTACGATTCTGTTGCATCATTTGCTTATTGCCCTTTGTTGTTAAAGCGTGTATTGACATTTATTGTATTTTTTTTTATGACTTTCCTTCCATAGGGTTCTTTGGAAGCTCTGCTGAGAAGTGGAGCAACAGAGGTCAAACCATACATACATCCACACCATGCATTTAATGCACATTGAAAGCACATGACTTTCCCCAAAGAACCCTGGGAACTGTAGTTTGTTAATGGGGCTTGGGAGTAGTAGCTCTGTGAGTGGCAAACCACATGATACTTTGGGGAAAGTCATGTGCTTTAAGTATATGGGGTAGAAGTTAAGTCTCAGTATTTATGTTATTAATTTTAAGTATGGTAGCATTGAATTGATATTTGACCCAACTAAAAAAGCTGAATACACACCATGGATTTAAAGTGCATCACTTCCCCCAAAGAATCATGGGAGTTGTAGTTTGTTAAGGGTGCGAGGAATTGTAGCTCTGTAAGGTTCCCAGGATTCTTTGGGGGAAATTATGTGTGGTGTGCACACAGCCTAGGAATCTTAAAAGATATATATAAATATATAAAAGATACCCTTTATATACTGAAAGCCCCTGGCATCCCCAGCTAAAGGGATCAGGTTATGGGACAAATCTTTGAGAGATGCTGTCAGTCAAAGTAGACAATATCAGGTAAGCTGACCTCCAGCCTCCATGCAGGCACAGCCCCACCTGTTAGGTGTGGTGGCACATGCTACTGTTTGCACCATCATCTAAAGCAGATCTTCAGGGTGAGGCAGTTAAATATTGTTGTCCCATGGAAATCAATAGGTGCCATTCCGGTGACTCAGTGCAGGGTGAAGACTGTAGTCAGGTGTGCGCAAATACATCATTATCTAAACAGGCTGTACTGGGAAGCCATCCTGAAATGGAAATAGCAGGAGTGCAGGAAGTATATTGGCACATATTTTTATTTATAAAGTCACACCTGTATGTATGAAACAAGTTTATGTTCTTTTTAGCCTGAACTCTACAGGAGAGACAGCTTGAAGCCTGATAAATTGTACCTTTAAATAAAAAATGGTAAATACATTGTTTGTAACAAAAGTAACTGGTTGTAAACTGATGTGTTACTTTCTGAACCTACTATTTCCCCCACCCCCCCACCCCCAAGTGTTCTCAAGATAAACAGTGTCTGTTTTGGTTATTTTAGTGTGTGTGTTTTGTTTCATAGACATCGTATTTATTTCAATAATTATAATACTATGTTGCGGTCCTATTCTCACTTGACTGGAACTAAGCACCATTACGCACAGTGGGGCTTACTTCTGAGTAAACATGCAAGGTTTTTGCCCTGCATTCATAGTTAATCCCTTCTTTTTGAACCTTGCCCCAATGAGAAAAGTTTGCATTTTCGAAGCCATTCTCTGGAATATGAATAAACTACAAAACTGTCCCCGTATTGTCACATTGCTTGGTCTCATTACACAAAAAACTGTCCCTGAAGGATGAATTGCCTAAACTGCTGTCCTGTTGAAGTTAATAGAACTTACTTCTGAATAGACATGCATAGCATTCCACTGCTTAGGAAGCCACAAGCTCCTGTTCTCTGAAGGTTTTTTTTTTTAATCATTTGACAAGTACAGTGGTACCTCGGGTTACATACGCTTCAGGTTACATACGCCTCAGGTTACAGACTCCGCTAACCCAGAAATAGTGCTTCAGGTTAAGAACTTTGCTTCAGAATGAGAACAGAAATTGTGCTCCGGTGGCGGCGCGGCGGCAGCAGGAGGCCCCATTAGCTAAAGTGGTGCTTCAGGTTAAGAACAGTTTCAGGTTAAGAACGGACCTCCAGAACGAATTAAGTATTTAACCTGAGGTACCACTGTACTGTATCTGGCAAACATATGCCTTGAGACAGTACACAACAGAAAACAAAACAAAAAACAGACTAACAATTTTGTGAACATTTCTGACAGAATAGTTTCAGAAAATGACACAGTTGCTTACAACCAGCTACACTAATTACAAACAATCTAGCCATCTTTTTTAAAACAACAACACTACTACTTTTTGCTAGGCTTCTCTAAATATCAGCTGTTTCCATTTCTGGCCCTCTACAGAACTGTATGCACTCCATGTTCCTACTGAGACCAGAGTCTGCCTCCCAGTGCCCTATTTTCAAGGAGTCTTTCCCCTGGTTTGTGGCTTATCAAAAGTGGTGATGGAAGGGGACACAACTTGGCCAACCATGGCCCAGATGAGATCAGCAGCCAATGGTACTTCCCCTTGCTTCTACCAGTTTATAGTGCAATCCTAACTTACTCCCAGGTTAAATTTAATGTCAATTTAAATAGCCTTGTTGGAGGGTGGGTTACATTGTCACACTGCAAGTCAACTAGGGGACAAGTAGTTGAGACCTGTGTGCTATGCTAATCCCTGCACTCATCCACATGGCAGCACACTCCAAAACTGTCCTTTCACAAATCCCCCTTTTCTTGCTCCCATGTGTCAGGTTTTAAGACCATGTGCTTTTTTTTACCCTATAAAGGGGTCACCAGCCCTTTTAGGGTTGTCATCCTGTGCACTTCTGCTGCCTGAGGCAGCTACCTCAGGCGGCCTAATGGCAGAGACGGCTCTGGGTCTATGGGCCTGGTTTGGAGGTTCCAGCTGGTGCAAAACCCTGTGGCGGCTATATGGCTTTAAAAGGATTTAGACCAATTTATGGTGACAGTGGCCAGACAAGTAAGTTCTACCTCCACTGTTGGGAGACAGTATGCCCCTGAGAATAAAAGTTGTTGGGAATCACAACTGGGGAGAATTCTACTGTGCTCTGGTCCTGCTGGCCCACAGCTTGGCCACTGTGAGGACTGGAGGAGCCCTAGTCTTGATCCAACAGGGCTCTTCAGATGTGAAGCATTGTGCCCCTTTTGCCATAGCTTGCAGGCAGGGTCAGATCTACTATGAAACCAATAAAGCTTAAGCTTCAGGACCTCTAATCCCATAGGGGCCCCATAAGCAACTCTAGTCCACATTGTTTAAAAACATTGGGTTTAGTGGACCCAATTTGAGTCGCATGGCTCAAATTGATTTGTTGTTGCTGTACGTATTTCAACCACCACAAAGTTTGAGGGTCAGCAGCACAGAGGTTGTAAAGGTGTCATGGAACAGCCCCATTGAAGAAGATAGCAGTGGTTACTCAGAGACCTCCGTGCTGGCCAGGGGTGCCAACTTGAATAAAATATTTGGGGGGGAGGGGCAGGTAAGCCCCACCCCACATAATCGATCACATGACACGGAGCACACACACTATTTGAATGGCAATGAATGCCCAGAGACCTCCTTGCTGGTCAGGGGTGCCAACTTGAATAAAATATGGGGGGCAAAGCCCCCTGGACCCCTATGTTGCTGGTCGCCAAGGGGTATCCCAAATGTAGGTCCCGCCGTTGCAAATTTCTGCTCTGCTGAGCTGGGGGCCACCAATCTTGTTTTCTTTTAATAAAAGGAGGATTTTAAGACTATTTAGCTAAATATTTAAAGACCATTTAGCTAAATATGCTAAGATAACCTAAATAGAACTTCTTGCAAGTACCAGATTGGCCTAGGGTTTAAATATGTGATGTTATAGAATAATATGTCTAAAGTTAAAATGAAAAGAAAGAAAGATGTTAATTGACTAAGTAAATTTTATGTGAAAATAGTTTTGGAAAACTGTTACAACCATATACATTGAAACTCAGCTGGGGGAGTCGAGGAAGTCACCCAACAATGTAAACAAAAGTGGAATTAATACACTTAAGATTTATGTTTGTTTGTCTGTTTATGGAAAATCAATAAAAAAATTTGGAAAATAAAATAAAAGGAGGAAACGTGGAAACAACTGCTGAATTTGAGGGGGGGGGGAAGGGGCGCAGAAAAATGAGAAGCCGAGGGAGAAAATAAGAAGCAATCTCCCCTCTGGCCGGCTGAGCAAAGCAACGTCGCCCAACTCGACTTTAGCCAGCACGGCGCATGCGCACGCCCCGGCCCCGACTCCGGTGACGTCAGCCCTCCCCTCCAGGCCCAGATCCCTCCCTCTCCCCCCGCCCTCCTCGCGGCCACTCCAGATTACAGTGTTGCCAATCGGCGCTGTTTGCTGCGCCCGCCCGCGCCGCGCTCGCCACTCCGCCCGCCCCCCGCGCTCCTTCCCACTTCCCAGCATTGCGAGCCCGCTGAGTCCACTCCCTCCCGAGCCTTACGTCGGTTCGGCAGCCCCCCCCCCCCACGCGCCGTCCCTCCTCCTCCTCCTCCTCCCTCGCACAGGACGGAGCCGCCGTCGGGGCCTCGGCAGCTGGGCAGCAGGACGCGCCTCCTCCTCCTCCTCCTCCCGCCTCGCTCGGGACCCGCAGCCGGCGAAGCCGCGACGGCCAGGAGGTGAGTCCCGCCCGGCGGCGACCCTTCGGGGGCTCGAACTCAGCCTCCCCCCTCCCACGTCGGAGGTGCTGCCCATGGCTGGTCCCACTCCAGTAAGTGCCATCTGGGGGGCTCGCACCCCTAAAACCCCCGAATTTCCTTCCCTCTCTCCGTCAGTGACCCCCACACGCCCCCTATTTCTCGCAGACCCTCCCCGTCCATCATGCCCTCTTCTGTCCCCTGGGACAAGCATAAGACCCCCTCCAAAGTCCTCCCCACCACCCCTACTACCTTACACGCCCTCGATTCCCACTCATGCCCTCTCCCCCTGACCCTTTTCTTCCCCAGGACCCCCAACCTGGGCTCCCAGGCTGTCATTGCTTCTCCCACCCCTTTCCGGGAACTCCCACCCTGCGCTTCTGGACACGGTTCTTCTCCCACATCAACACATTCCAGGATCCGTGTCCCTTTGTCTTCCCAGAACCACGGCTTCTCTCCCCCCCCCCCCCCGTCGCAGGATTCTCACTCCCCACCCACCCCGGACGGGGTGGCCACCCTATCACTCCATGCTTCGAGCCTGCTGTCGTTGATCTTTGGCTCTCCTGACTCTCTTATTTACGCAATCCATACCTACACGTTCTTGTCATCCACACACCCACACCCCTCTGGCCCCTGGACTTTTTAGTAACTTGTCTAATTCATCCTTCAGTTTCCCACTCCTCCATCTCAGCCGGGAAGCTGCCTCTCAACTCCATTCCTTAAATAGCTTTGCTTTTGACAGCCTGGCCCTTGCCTTAAGGAGAATGGCGAGAATTCGAGAGAGAGACTTGCTACCTTTGCTAAACTTTTCTAGGTTTCTGACTTCTATGCCCCTTCAGAAAGTTTTTAAAAAATCTTCTCCATTGGTTTGTTTACTTTTCTTTCCAATCACTGCAAAGGCTATATTTATGGTGACTCTGGTTTCTTCCAGTGCAATCAATTCTAACTACGTCTACTTAGAAGTAAGTCCTATTGAATTCAATGGGGCTTACTCCCAGGTAAGTGAGGTTAGGGTTGATCATTGTTTCTCAGTCCCACCAGGATGTTCACTCCTACCCTAAAGTCTTGCTGGATAGCTCATTTTCTTTTGATTACCTGTACCTGGCTACGGGCTACCCAGCCATAATAGCACTGACTAACCTTACAGCAGGGATGGGGGACCTAGGATGTTTTTAGATTGCAATTCCCATCAACCCCAGCTGGCATGGCCACTTATCAGGAATTGTGGGAATTGTAGTTGAACAACATTTAGAGGGCCACAGATTCGCCATACCTGCTTTACGGGATTTTAAAGGATTTCATCTAGATAATGCTTATGAAGTGCTTTGAACACTTCCATGAGACACTTGAAAGCACTATACAAATGTTGTTATTGATAATATTTCCTCCCCTTGTTGGGTTCTGTCACTGATCCTAGATCTCATTGCCTTCATATTTTCCCATTGAATTCTTTACTTCTCGCACTGTGTTATTTTGCTAGGAAGGAAAGGAAAGCCTTGAGAAATTTTTTTACCTGATCTCTGAGATTGCCATCCCTAGCTGTGTAACTCTCCGTGTGTGTGTGTGTGTGGCAGGAGGGACTGCGACAGAATGTTGTAGCACCTTGAAGACTACAAATTTAATGTGGCCTACGCTTTTGTGGCCTGGAATCTACTTAGATACCTGGAGTATTTTTCCCATTTGACAAGGGTGTGTGCATTTATCAGTGTTTATATAGCCACATGGACAAACAAACACAGGGGGGAAAATATAAACTGAGGTCAAATGACCATGAAATACTAAAAAGTACGGTCTGTGGTGATTTTTTTTATATATATATATATATATATATACACAGTGGACATTGTATATTTCCTGGTTTTATTGTACTGATTTTTATGAAGATTATTGTAAACTGCTTTTGAATTCCTAATGAAGGGTAATCTACTTTTTTTTAAAAAAATATGTTTATATGTTTGTGTATACACGCACACATGTATGCATACACATATAAAAATATAAAATAATCAAGCATCAGCTTTATTTGATGAAGTGGACTCTATTCTATGAAAGTGATTCCACATTAAATCTGTAAGTGTTTCAGGTGTCAAAAGATTTTATTCGCTGTTTATTCCAATAGGCATCTCTTAAGGTCAGAATGCTGTTTATCCTGGAAGTTGCAATAGTAGGAAGGTGTTTTGAAAGTAGGAAAACATGATGCAGAAAAATATTTTTGCAATGTAAAGATTCACTGTGTATTGGCACGGCTGTGTTGACTCTTGTTAAAAACAACTGCTCTATTCAGAAGTTGCCTACATTACGTACAGTTAAAATATATTGTGTAAATTACCTTGTAAGACATCAGTTTGGTACCAAGTTTCTGGTTTTCATAGAATGTGGATGCCTTCCCCCTTCCGCCCCAACACTACACACCCTCTCCCAAATATTTCTGAGGAGTAGAAATGTGGATTTTAAACATGGAAGCTAAGATTTCCTCAGTGTGTCAGAAGTTGGTATTTGTTTATTGAGGTGCAGCCTGGAGGTGATACTCATATGCAGTGGGCTGCAGTTGAGAGCAGTTGGTATGTGTGTCACAACAGCATTGAGTTGCATTGTGCATTGCACTTTTGCTTGGCCCTGATGTTGCGTTCATGCCAGCTTGCGGCGAACATTTATAATCCTGCGCCTCTGTAACAAGCGGCTGCCAGCGCAGTCTGTTTTTGCAACGTGCTGCTAACTTCAAACCGGACACAGCATGGCAGCCGCATTTGGTATATTAAAATAAACCACTGGCATTTTCTCCGGAGCCTTTTCTCCCTTTTTGAAAACAACACCACGTTAAGTACTTAGCTTGACATTGATGCATAAACATAACAGGTTTGTTTTCTTTCAAGTGGCTGTAGCAGCTGCCTAAAAAAGTTCATGACACACTTGGTCTTTGTTGCTTAGAAATTCAAAGAAAATGATTTTTTTGATGGTGTGGTCCGAGCTAGCCAAGAACTTTTTAATTTTTGTTCATTTAAAGCTTCTTTCCCCAATTCCTTATCTTTAGCCAAAAAATAAAGACTCCCAGAATGGCTTGCAAATCACTACCACCCCAAATTTAAAAAATCACAGCCCCTTTTGTAATGACACAAAAAGAAAAAATGATTGGGAGGGAGGAGGAAATAAGCGAATAAGCAAACTCAGGTTCAAGTTATTGGCTACAAGTTATCCTGATGACCAGCTGGAATGGAAAAGTTCAAGTAGAGGAGACACTAAAAGTTCCTGGACTCTGAGCAGCGCCAGTCAAAACTTAGCATAGCCACTCTTCCTTCTCTGTGTGCTATGGTTTTAGTACAAAATAACATTTTTTTGAAGTGTAATTTTGTACAGAGTGAGTTCAGTTGCCTGTGGAAAATTTACGGACCAGTGGCAGTGTGCTTAAGCCTTCCCTCTTGAAGCACGCTTCCACTCAAAATCTGCCCCAGCTTCTTTTTTCCCTTGTGGAAGTGTATGGGAACTGGTATATGGTTCGCTGCAGGGCTAAAAGCAGGTGGAAGCAATTTTTAGGGAGAGAGGGAACAATGGACAGGGACAGACTTAAACTCCCACAGGCCCTTCCGCTGCTCCCAATTGTTGCTTTTTCTTTTCTTTTTTTAAGGCAGAGCAAATTTACTCACAATTGCATATAATGAGTAGACTGGTTGCATCCGTCTGGATTCCTCATCTGTATATTAGGAATAATAGTTACTTGCCTTTTTTTGAATTACTGTGATGACAGGTAAGATAATTTTTTTTTTACAAAACACATTATGGGTTTTGTATAAATAACAGGGAACAGCAGTGATAAAAACCAACAGAAGCAACTGCTGTGAAATGATTTGAAGATGATCACTTGAAGAATTTGCAGCAATTATTGGAAGCAGCACACATATCTTCCCATCCTAACCTAAGACCTAGGTTTTTCTGCTTCTCCTGATACCGGGAACCAAAACTAATATGTCACTGATAGGAGTAGTGTTGTAATCAGGCTTTCTGCAAGACTTGCGTTGGCAGGCAAGACCTCTCTGGACTCAGGGACCTCTTATTTGCATTTAGCTAGCTGCAGAGGATCTTGGGAACTGGAAATGTTTGAGTGGGATGCCAATCTCAGATGGAAAGAGCGTGTGCTGGGGTCTTGCGTCACTTTCACTTGGATGGTTAACATTTCTGGGAAATGACTGGTCTGGAATTATTATGTTTTAAAAACTCTCCTGCTGGATTTTTTTTTTTTTTTAAAGAAAGGAAGAAGTTCTGAAATCTAATGCTTTATGTACTCCCATAACATTTCTCCTTCCCCCATCAAATCTTTACTTTTTAACCTTTTCTCAATCCCACCCCTCAAGAGTTCTAATCGCAGGTGTTGGGAACAAACACAGTGTAACCATTTATTATTTTGGGCAATATTTTCCCCCATCTGCAATTTTAATTTAGATTTTAGTTTACTCCATGTTCTTTCCATGTAAGCGCTTGTATTCTGTTAGTCCCAAACTTGGGATCATTGTGTCCTAAGAAACTTTGCTGGCTAATTCTCCATGGATAGAGAAGAGCCAAAAGTTTTCTCATGAACTGGAACTACTTATGGCGAATGAATTTGACCCCCCCCCCCACCGTAAGAGCATGAAGGATTACAAAACAGCAACAAAATCAAGTGGAGCAGAGAACCTGTGAGGAGAAGAAGGAAATGAACTGAAAGGAGAATTGTTTTTATAGCAGCAGAGAGGCCTTGCTTAATTGTTGCTATGTTAATTAAGTTGGCTGTGTGTTGAAGTGTTGCAATTCTAGTCCAGATCCGATGACGATAATTTTTAAAAATTCATATTCCCTGTTCCCTGACCATCAATTTTACAGTGCAGTCGTATGCATGCTTACTCAGGAATAAACCCCACTATAGCCAATGCAGCTTGTGCACAGCAAGACTGCAGCATGAATGTGCAAAGTGCGTTAGGAAAATGTCTTTCGTAGCTGAATGTATGAACATTCCCATTGATACGTTTACAAATCTGTATACATCTGCAGGATATTGCTTCAGTTTGTTTGTCATGGACTCCAGTCAAAGTAAACAAAAATGTATGTAAAGCTGCCTTATGGGGGTAGACTCAGGGTTTTTTTCAGGGGAGACTCACAGGAACTCAATTCCAGCACCTTTCAGGTGGTTGCAATTGCCATTCTAAGAGAACGAGGGAGGTGTTGATGGTGAGATCCGGCACCTCTTTTTCTAGAAAAAAAGCACTGGGTCAGACCATATCTAGCCCAGCTTCGTCAACTTAGACTGACAGTGGCTTCCCTAACCGGGAATGCATGGAATTGAACATGGGACTCTGTGATTGCAAATGCATAGCAGTGGCTCTCCAAGGTCGTCTAGTTGCAAAGGCTGGATTTGTTTATACTTTTATGTCTCACATTTTCTTCAAGAAGCTCAAAGTGAATTATTTGGTCACCCCCCCCCCCCAACATTTATCCTGCACAACAACCCTGAAAGGTAGGTTAGACTGTGAAAGAGTGAATGGCTCAAGATCACTCACTGAGCTTCATGGCTGAGTGAGGATTTGAACCCTAGGGTGGTATTCAACTAAGGGCAGGTCCACACCATACATTTAAAGCATGTCCAGGACACATTTAAAACACAGAAATCCTGGGAATTCTAGTTTTCCCCACAGAGCTACAATTCCTAGTACTCTTAACAGGCTACAGTCTCCAGGATTCTTTGGGGAAAGTCATTCACTTTAAATGTATACTGCATGTACTTTAAATGTATGGTGTGGCCCTGCCTTTTATTTTACTCAAGAGTAGACCCAATGAAATTAATGAAGATGACTAACATAGATCCACTAATGTTGAAACTCGGCTGAATACCATTCCTGGCCTCCCAAGTCTTAGTTACTCTAGTCACTCTCCTATGACAGCTCTATATGCTGTCTCCAGAATAAGAGGTATTATAAAGAACAGGAAGAGGAGCAGCAGCAGCAACAACAAGTTAGACATATTGCAAGCTCATGTCCTGCTTGTGGGTTTCCCAGAGGCATCTGGTGAACCACTCTGGGAAATGGGATGTTGGACTAGACAGGTTGGACTAGGCAGGTTTCAGTCTAACCCAGCAAGACTCATATGTTCCTAAGGAACAGAACAAAATAATAACTCTCCCAGAGGGCCCTGAAATAGACACAGAATTTGTCTTGTGTTGTTCTTGCTAATAACGTATAAACATTATGTATCATTTACGTAAGAGCCCTGTGAAGAAGATATTCAATATCTTTGTTATGCTCATTTTGGAACATAGGTGCCTTGGCACCTGAACCATTTCTGCTATTTGGGTTTCTTCATCCGTACTGCATCTCATCTGTCAGCGAGAGATGAATTGTTAGAAACGATTGACGCCACAAGACAAACAAGTATTTGTGTTAGGCATCTTATGAAATTTAAATATATTTTCCTGTTGGTTTTAATGTCTTTATAACAGCATGGTGGGACTCCTTTATCGCAAATGAGGAGCTGAAGTGCACTGCATCCTGACAAACCTTGGAGTTGGGATTAGGATGCAGGTCTGAATACAGTTTTGCTGTTGGGTATTGCTGGCTGCCAGCATTCACCTTTCAGAAGACTGTAAGCTGGGTATAGGAGGTGTTGCCAGCCCTGGGGTTTCAGCCTCTGAGGAGCTATATGAGCTTTGGTTCTCACTGTGCATTTAATGAATACTTAGAAATTCCTTTCGTGTTACTATGAGGTCAAAGGAAAGGAAGGGTGATTTCCTTGCTTGCCTCAATCAGCCTTTGAAAATCTCTGTGAAGTCGGCTAGAATTAGTCCCTATTTGCAGATGAGCGACTAGAGCTAGAAGGGTAGATTCTCTCAAGGGATTTGAACCCTGATTCAAAGTGAACATTGTGCCCACACCTCACATGGAAGTTCTCTGGGTTAATTTTGTGCCCTGTAAACAAGCCAGTGTTGGCTTCTGAAAGTAAGTAGTTATTGATATTTCCACAATGGTTGCCAACTGGTACATTTTTCCACAGTGACAATTGGTTGTGTTTAGTGTCTGTTTAGAAGTGGCTGCTTTTAACAGGTTGCCCGTTATACAACAGGTTAGAGGCAAAAGCTATATCCTTTATTAGTAGCTCTTTTTAACTGTCCTTTATTGCTAACTTTAATATTGTTGGGTTTTTTTGTAAACCTCTTTAAGGTCTGTTAAATAAACAGATCCATTTTACTTAGACTGGGAATAATTATAACCCTCATTTATTGGGTAAGGGTAGTTAGAACAGGAGCAGAAAAGTGAACCCAACACTTCACAAAGTTTATTTAAAAATTTAGGATTGTGATTGATTGGAATGAGAATTTTCTTTATTGGATCAATGCTTCTATTGGGCTAAGAATATACAAAACCTTTTACCTGCTGAAGGACTGTGTTTAGTTAAAAAGTTGGTGAGAAACTCAACAAGAAAAATGGTTCTTGTAGAATATCAAGATGTTCATTCTTGCTTCATCAGTGTCAAGCACCTAGTAGGCTACATACACAACTGTTGGGCTGCAGTTGGTTTTGTGGATCCCATAGGTATTATTGAGAAGTATAGAATCTCAGAACTGTCAGCATGAGATATGCCCCTTGTATTGAACACCAGATAGCCACTGTAGAAGAGTGAACCTTTAAGTGAGAGAGGTGCCTTTACTTTTCTCCAGCACAGCTGAAAGCAAGTGTGTTCAGGTAGACAATGAAACATTAAAGGCACCAGCTGTGACAGCATAAGGCCTTTCAGAAAATCAGTGGCGTGGGTCACCTACAGGCAGCACCACACAGAACAATATGTTTTTTTGTGAAGCGGCCTTCCCATGCTGTTGGCCACATTTTCACTGTGACATTGCGAGCCTTCCATACATCCTGCTTTTAGATACAGTGGTGCCTCGCAAGACGAAATTAATTCGTTCTGCGAGTTTTTTCGTCTTGCGAGCTTTTTCGTCTTGCGAAGCACGGTTTCAATTTTTTCAAAAAAATCTTCAAAAACCTCAAAAAAGGCTACCACACAGCGTGCTATGAGTTGCTCCCCGAAGTCAAGTCGCAACTGCACCTCTTCAAGCAATGCACCCTGTATTACTGTAACGGTTTTAAGAAAAAGGAAACAAACTTGCAAGACGTTTCCGTCTTGCGAAGCAAGCCCATAGGGAAATTCGTCTCGCGAAGCAACTCAAAAAACGAAAAACTCTTTCGTCTTGAGAGGCATTCGTCTTGCGAGGTACCACTGTACTTGTTCATTTCATTGTTGGCAAAAGCATCTTTCCAAAGAGAGTTACCTCATGTCTCGGAAATATGGGTTTGCTTTACTCCTCACATTGGAGTTAGTTTGCTCTGAAGATGTTTGTACACCTTTGTGGCAACACCAAAGCTTTGGTGGTACTGGAAAATTACTGGACACCAGAGAAAAGTGCGTAGGAAAGTTTTTTCCAAAAAAAATTCGGCCCAGCTAAAGGACAGATACCTAAAACTTGTCATCTAGTTCTTGTCATCTAAAACCAGGCATGACTTACTTATTTTAAGGAATAGAAAAAACATTGTACTATGGGTCCATATGCACACTTATGGTGATGGATTTATATTTACTTCATCAGATTTTTCCCTCCCAGAAATATAAACAAAATCCAACAAGGTGAGATGAAGTTGCCTGGAAGCATTTCTTATGCTCAACAATAATCATTGTGAGCACAGTAGAATATTACTATTGTTTATTAAATTTGTATACTGCCCTTTATCCAAAGATCACAGGATTGTTCACAACATAAAAATACCAAATGAAAACACAAAATAGATAAGAAAACATAAGCAAACCAGTAAAACACCCCCCCACACACAAACACATTTAAAAAGCTATAGAATGTTAAACAGCCAAAGGCCTGGTAATGGAGAAGAGTTTTCACCTGGTGCCTGAAGATATGTAATGAAGACTGCAGGAGAGCCTTACTGGGGAGAGCATTCCACAAGTGGGGAGCCACCACAGAGAAGGCCTGTTTGTGTGTTGCTGACTTCTGGGCCTCTTGTGAAGGAGGCACAAAAAGAAGGCCCTCGGTGTTGATCGCAGGGTCAGGTTTGGTTCATATGGGGAGAGGCGGTCCTTGAGGTGATGTTGCAAGATGCGTTGATATCTGTTTCTGAATTCTTGTTTGCGTTTGAAAATGGTTAACAAAATAGCCAATGTATTGTAAGAGGGCTAATTTGGAATGGGCTCTAGCAGTAGAGCATCTGCATTGCATGCAAAATATCGTGGTTTAATTCACAGCAGCTCCAGGTAGGTTTTGGGGGACCCTTGTCTAAAACTCTGGGTGCTGGTGCCAGTCGGTACAGAGCTATATGAACTCAGCCGCCTGAGTTATATGAAAGCAGCCACCTGTGTTCTCAGCCTTTTAGTTCTCTTATCAGTTTGTTGCTTTTTCTTCCTTTTTAAAAAAATCATCCTTTTGGTGCAGCCAAGAATGGTTGCGCTAGTCTGAATAGTTCATTAGCAGTAACCCTCTTTTTTTGTCCCTCCTCTTCCCATGTTTACTGAAAATGTGATGCCAATTTAACGTTCTCCCGCTGTGCAGGAGTTTGGGGCATTTTTTAATTGCAGCAAGAGCAGGTGTGGTCAGTCCTAGGTTCAGAGGCTCTGTTTTAAGTTTTGTTTTACTTGTGATCAGTCAAATTAACCGCACTGTTCTAGCTGTGGGAACAAGAAGCAAGCATTATCTCTAGTGTGATATTAATCTTCCTGCCTGGTATTTTGATATACAAGTCTAAACCACACTCTCTTTCTGTATTAACAGTGCCGCTTACTACTGCTTCCTGAGCACTGGTTTTTTTTTTTATTATATAAAAAAGTGATGTCTGGAGCTTGTCTTCTAAGTTCAAGGGGGAGAGCTGCTAATATTTGGGTTGAAGAATTTGTAAGAAAATGAAATCACCTTGGGAAGCATGGAGACAACATGGAGTGTTTTATTTTCTTCTGAGTCAATAATGACTCAAATGTTCTAGCCCTGTGCTGCAGTCTTGGTGTGCTAATACTGAGCCATCTGGCTCGTAACAAGCTTCAAAACTAAGATATTAAACACTTCCAGATTTGTTAGTTCTCTTTTGAGAATAGTCATTAGTAGGACTGATTTTCCTAACACTTTTGAATTTTGCATACCTCATGAGATGGCTTGTGTTTTGGGCTATCTTCTTGTTTACAGTCTAGTGTTTGAAAAGAAAGAAGATAAGATTTGCAAGAGTTCAGATGTAGACTGGATTGACTTGCCAGAGTTCAGAAGTTCAGCATTGGAAAAGGGAGTTATTGTTTTGTTCTTTCTGTTTAACTATTTGTGTTTTTATATTCTGAACAGCCCTGAGAGCTTCTGATGAAGGGTGGAATGTCAGTCTAATAAATAAAATAAATATATAAAAATAAGTGTTTCCTGACTATCTGGTTAGTTTATCTAAGGGCACGACAACATTTTATGATAGAGCTTCCACTGGGTACCTGTAAATCAATTTGCCAGCAGTAATTGGAGTGGACTCTATGGCTGTTCCAATGTTAAGTCAAACCTAAACTGTCAGTGTGAGTTCACAGGTAGCTGCTGCCTTATACTGAGTCAGATCACAAGTTGATCTAGCTCAAAATTGTACTACTGTGAGGCAGGAGCTGTTTCCAACCAGGAGAGGCCAAGGATTGAACCAAAGACCTTACGCATGCAGAGCAGATCTCTACCACTGAATTGTTTGCTTGTGTTGCATTCACTAAATATTAGTCTAGCATTCCGAAAACATGCACGGATTCTGTCAGAAAGCTAAGACTCTAATGCTTCAGATTCATTATCATCATGACATGACAATTCTCTCACTGACAGATGTTGCTGAGATTACTTATTTTCATATATCAGGTTGTGGTCTACGGGGCATATGCCGACAGTTACCCTCAAGTTTCTTGCTGGCATCAAATTGCAAAACTCTTTTACGAATGCGGCATTAACAGAGGGCTGTGCACACACCAGGGCAATAATATGTATGTGGATTGCTGTTCCACTGTGTGCAGTTGTGCAACTTTGTTCACACACAAGTGCTTTCAATTTTATGCCTCTGAAATCGGTCTTGATGTTTCCTGACCACACTAGTGGGTGGTCCTTCATGGAATTTATTTGTTCTGTATGCTGTTGTCCTCTCCCATCAAGTAGTATTTTCCTGTCATCCATAAGTTCCGGAAACCTGTCCAGCTGTGGGCATGCACACACGTATTTGCTTGTCCTTGCAACAGCATCTTTTACATTTCTTTAATTTTTATTTTTGAAGAACAATTTTTCTAGTACAGTGGTACCTCAGTTTATGAACTTAATCCGTTCCGGAAGTCCGTTCTTAAACTGAGACGCGCTTTCCCTAATGAGGCCTCCCAGCGCCAGTGCCCTTCCACCATTCAGATTCCGTTCTTAGACCAAGGTAAAGTTCGCAGACCGGGACACTACTTCCAGTTTTGTGGAGTTCATAAACCAAATCGTTCATAAACAGGACTGTTCTTAAACCGAGGTACCGCTTTTATACCAGATTTGCACAAAACAGCAGTCAAAAATAATGATAATAAATACACTTCCATCTCTCCATGTGCCATGGACCTCTTGGCTCCATCAGAATCTGGAATGCTTTGGCAGACTCAGATGGACCAGTAGGAAGGCAGAGAAGATGGTGTGGTGGTGGAAGATTGAGACCCAGGGTTGGAGAAGAGAGGTCCTTCCCATGTGATTCTAGATGTCAGAGGGCTGGATGACAGGGGTGGAGATGCTCCTTCAGGTATACAAAACAATACCCTAATATTGACCGGGGGGTGGTGGAATCTGAGCAAGGAGGAGTGCCTGTGTGTATTCTAGGAGCATTACTGAGCAATGAATTACTGCAGCCAACCTAGAAGCTTTTCACTTTGTTGATGTTATGAATTCCCTTCTGTGTAGAACCATACCCATTTAATTTATATGACAGTACAGTGAAATACAGACAGACGTCTTTGTATAGCTGCTAGGATGGGAAATGCAAACCAAATATACAATACTTTATTTAGCATCGTTCAGCTGAAGTACACAAGTGATAATTGTTTGCAAGAGTGTAATACTCAAATTGCCTTTCAGTATTATTTTGTATTGAATTACAGTGGTACCTCAAGTTACATACGCTTCAGGTTACATATGCTTCAGGTTACAGGCTCCGCTAACCCAGAAATAGTGCTTTGGGTTAAGAACAGAAATCGTGCTCCGGCAGCGCGGCAGCAGCAGGAGGCCCCATTAGCTAAAGTGGTGTTTCAGGTTAAGAACAGTTTCAGGTTAAGAACGGACCTCCAGAACGAATTAAGTACTTAAGCCGAGGTACCACTGTATTAGGAATTTTGATTACAGATCACTCACTCCCCCCACCCTGGTGAATAGGAACTTCTTTTCCCCCCAGTTTTTCCAATTTTATTTCTACTTTTCAAGTTTATACATTTCACTAGTTTTATACATTTCACTAATTTTACAATCATTTTAACATTTAAAAACTTGACTTCCTTCCTCCTCTTTCTGCAGTTCCTTAAATTTATTTTTAATATCCTCTGCATATCCAAATTAACTTAATTTGCTCATTTATTCATCTACTTTAAATATATACTCTTATAAAACTGCAGGTTATTATAATAATCATGCCAATGATCTTATCTGTTTACAATTTATCTGTAAATATTCTATAAACCATTTCCATTCTTTTATAAAAAGTTTATTCTTTTATAAAAAGTTTTATGAAAAGTTTATAAAAGAAGGCAGAGGGCCTTCACAGTAGTGGCGCCCATCCTGTGGAATGCCCTCCCACTAGATGTCAAAGAAAAAACAACTGCCAAAGTTTTAGAAGACATCTGAAGGCAGCCCTGTTTTGGGAAGCTTTTAATATCTGAAGAACTATTGTATTTTAATATTTTGTTGGAAGCTGCCCAGAGTGGCTGGGGAAACCCAGCCAGATGGGCGGGGTATAAATAATAAATTATTGTTGTTATTGTTATGGTTTTATTATTATCTTGATTTCTTATTCTTCTGGTGAATAGGAACTTCCATGACTGTGAATAACAGAAAGTTTCTCTAGGTTCTAAAATAAAGCTAGACATTTGACCGAGAGTGACTGCCTGCATTTGCTATTATCTTGTGCTTTATATTTGCTGAGGACCTTCAAGCTAAACCAACTTATTCCCGAGACAGAATTGTGTTTAATAATCAGATTCCACGTACCTGTCCTTTTTAACCTCTTAAAAGTACTGGGGAACGAATACCTAAGAGTCACCCCTTGTAAAATACTTTATCTTTTCTTTGAAAGAAAGAGGACCTCTTATTGCCTGGTAACCTTATGAGGGGGAACTGAATGCCACTTTCTCCCCCCCCCATCACTGATTATGTCAGATGTACCCCATTCCAAAGGGCCCTGTACCCCAGAGCTGCTTCAAAACTGTCAGCGATGGTGGGCACACTCTTTTTTTTAGAAGACAAGCTAAATATAGATGTAACTAGCATACCACAGCACAGTGAACATCGGTCTTAAATTTGTATATGGGAAGCTGAATTTGGGCTTTTAAAATTATAAATTGATGAAGTACAGTGGTACCTCTGGTTGCAAATGGGATCCATTCCGGAGGCCCGTTCGCAACATGAAAAGCCGGCAACGTGAAGCGCTGTATCTGCGCAGGTGTGCGGTTTGGTGCTTCTGCGCATGCGCTATTTAGCACTTCTGTGCATGTGCAAGTGGCGAAACCCGAAAGTAACCCTTTCCGGTGCTTCTGGGTTGCTGCGGGACGCAACCTGAAAAAACGTAACATGAAGCAAACGTAATATGAGGTATGACTGTATAGTTATGGTGTAATATATTAACATTGAAGAAACTTATGTACAGTGGTGCCTCGCAAGACGAAATTAATCCGTTCCGCGAGTGTCTTCGTCTAGCGGTTTTTTCGTCTTGCGAAGCAACCCTATTAGCGGCTTAACAGATTAGCGCTATTAGCGGTTTAGCGGCTATTAAAGGCTTAGCGGCTTAGCGAATTAGCTGCTAAAAGGCTATTAAAGGCTTAGCGGCTTAGATAAAGGGGGGGGGAAGCGGGAAAAAAATCTCAAGACTCGCAAGACATTTTCGTCTTGTGAAGCAAGCCCATAGGGAAATTCGTCCTGTGAAGCAACTCAAAAACGGAAAACCCTTTCGTCTAGCGGGTTTTCCGTCTTGCGAGGCATTCGTCTTGCGGGGCACCACTGTATTTCTTTTTTTTGGGGGGGGGAGTAAATTCTCTTTGAACCTGTGAAGGAGACATGAGCAAATGGAGTGTGTGGTTTGTTCATAGGAAACCTCATGTAGATTAAGGCAGGTCATGTCCACATGAACATTTGCCTCAGGTTCACAGCCCTTTGACACATCTCAAATGTTGTTGCTACAAAGGGCACAACCAGGAAAGCCAGGAATATGAGATGCACCAAAGGTAGCAGCTGGGGTCGGTGTGTCCGCACAGCCAAATAACACCTAAAAGCAATAGGTGACTAAGCCTATTGCTCTTTAAAATAAGGGGGGAAACCATGGGGAGGCAAGCTAAAAACACCTCTGTATTAGTGGTCAAGCAAGATCAGCTGAGGGGAGTAAACAAGGTGACTATTTTTTTATTAACAAAATAAGTCAGCTGTTTGAGATCATGTTGTGAACTGCCTTGCCTACAAAGTTTCCTTTACTTTCTGCAGCAACTCTTTCATGCAGTCCAAACACCTTTGGTAAGAAGCCTGTAATTATCTGCAGTTGCTTAGGTTTCTAGATCAAATAAAGGTGACCTTACTTTGTGTGTGTGTGTGTGTGTGTGTGTGTGTGTGTGTATGTAGAGTCCATAGCCAGAAAATATAAAGTGTCTCCTCTTTTTAATGGAGAGTCAATTAAACTGACCTAGAGCCAGATTACTGACGTGAATACTTTAGGCTAGGGGCTGTCACTTGAAGAGACTTACTGTCTATATATAACAAATTAGGAAACATAAGCATATTTATTGTACAAAAGCAGACCTTTGGTCAGGGCTCATTTGTGCATGTAGGTTTCCTCATATGTGGATCACTGCCTTTGGTTATATTTATGTAATACCCTGCCTTTTCAAGTATTTCGGCCTGTTTCACATGTAATGGTAAGCCTAACCATGGCTTAGTATGAATTAGCAAACATGCAGGCTCTTGGAGAGGAGAACATGACAGCTTTTCTCCTCCCCAGTCGTTCTGCTGTTGCACATAGCTAAACTATGGGTTGCTTTAATCCAGGCTTCCTCAACCTCGGCCCTCCAGACTTTTTTGGCCTACAACTCCCATGATCCCTAGCTAGCAGGACCAGTGGTCAGGGATGATGGGAATTGTAGTCTCAAAACATCTGGGGGGCCGAGGTTGAGGAAGTCTGCCTTAATCCACTTCTGGCTTTGTGGTTTAGCTCTCTCCAGACCAAACCATGAGCTGCAAGTCAGGTTTGTGAAATAACTGCGGATCGGTTGCCTTTAAATATAGAGAGGAGATGCAGCCAGATCTGGGTGGACCATGTTACTAATGTTGCTAATTTACCCCATAACTTTAGTCCAGAAAGCTGTCCAAGGGCAGGTCCACCATAGGTACCAATAAGTCCCTATGGCTCTACAGTGCCACCAGTAGGATGTATTCCTTGAGTTTTGAATATGTATCATTCACTCAGGTGAAAATTCATGAACAATTTTCGTGGAGTTTGCTTTTAGACTAAATAGAATGGTTTCATGGACCAGAGTTTATCAATGGGAAGCGACCCTGAAGTTAAATGTTCATTTGGGTGGGGAGGAATGAAGCTTACTAGAAACCGTGTTTTTTTTTTGTGCTAGGGCAGGTCCCAAATCATGTACACATTTATACAAATATGTAATTCATTATCCTCTTTTCAGCAGAAATGTTACTCTTGGATCCAAGTAAGCACAAACTTATTTCACAGTCCAGAATCTTCCTCTTCTGTCCTCCCCCTCAGTTTTTATTGGCACAACATTTTGTTGCAAAATTTTATATTGTTGAAAATTACAAAGTAGTTTTCAAATTATGCTATTGGGTGCAAACTCTCTGGAACATTCCCTAGAGGGGATAGGATTGTGGAATGAAACATCTGCATGTTTTAAAGCTGTGGAGAAAAATAACTATCCCCTCTTTCTCCATCCACACCCATTTCTTTAGAAAACAAATTTGGATAGATTTAAGCCATAGCCCTCAAAACAAAACTTTCCATATTTAAGATAAAATATTTCAAACAGCTTTCTTCTTGCATTTTCAAGAAAAGCTATTGATTTTTAAAATTTATTTTAATATTGCCATTTGTGGGCTATTATTTTAAAATGAAAAATTTCCCCATCTTCCCAAAGTTCTTGTTTTTAGCCTGTAAACTTCTGAGTAGGGAAGAAATACTCTCTGCCTTGACAGGCAAAAGAGTTTGGTCTGAAGTTATAAGATCAAGTGCAGGTCAAGTTTTCTGCCACACAAGCAAAAGTTTAAAGAGAAGGCAAAGTGATTGAATTTCCCACTGATGAGAACAAATGATATGTTAATTCTGAGACAAAAGGAATGTGGTGTACTTTGCTGCTGTATATGTGAATTGACCTTCCTTTCCACAGCTGTTCATCTTGCCTCCCTTTGAAGCTAAGAAACTGCATTTCTAAGCCTAGTATCCAAAGGAAAACTGTTTGTTTTCTGAAAATTGCAAATGCAATTTCTACTAAGTTTTACTTCGCCAAATTAGATTTTAAAGGCATGTCTTTACAGTATGGCATTCTAACCAATCAATTAGATGTTTTTTTAAAAAAATCCTTCCCTTGTAACTGTACACACAGTGTCTCAGTTGTAACCTTCATCTGTTGAGAAAGACCTATAATGGGACTGAGCCATTGTGCCAGAAAAATAATCTGGAATTTCAGTTTTCTTTATTTAATGCTCTGGCACTTAATTTAAACTTTCTGTATTTAACCTACAGTGGTACCTCAGGTTAAGTACTTAATTCGTTCCGGAGGTCCGTACTTAACCTGAAACTGTTCTTAACCTGAAGCACCACTTTAGCTAATGGGGCCTCCTGCTGCTGCCGCACCTCTGGAGCACGATTTCTGTTCTCACCCTGAAGCAAAGTTCTTAACCCAAGGTAATATTTCTGGGTTAGCGGAGTCTGTAACCTGAAGCGTATGTAACCCGAGGTACCACTGTATTTGCCATTGAAAAACTTAAACTTGTATGGTTAAATAAAATAATACAGTTTCACAATATAATGAGTCATTCAACAATCCAAATTGTTACATCCAAACTAGATGATCACTTAATCTACTAATTCGGAAGATGCTAAATGAATTGGGCTGAACCAAAGTAAAGAAGCCAGTTCAAAAGGTATTTCAAGTAAGTGTCATAAGACACACAATATACAATTACAGGAGAACATTTTATGTGGCTATTATAAACTAGTCAAGTTGCTGAAAATACAGGCAGTAACTGTGCAATCCGGGCATGTCTACTCAGAAGTTAGTCCCATAGAGTTCACTGGGCCTTCCTCCCAGGTAACCTCATGGTGGCCTCATGAGCCTTCAGGCAATTAAATACATTATAGCAGTTTTGGAATGCCACATATTTGTTATTGCAAATTGGTTTTTGTTTCCCTCTTGGTGTGGTGCTTAACGTTGAATGGTGGTCTGTGAGGAGTCACAATTTGAAATAACAGGTTGGGTGCCTTCATGTATTCTTCTCCCATTAGAATTCCATCACAGATTTGTTCCAAGGGACTGAAGAGAAGTTTAAATGCAACTGTCCTGGTTATGATGGTTTCTGTCCATGTCTTCTGGTTGCAGATGGTTGACCTGCTCTGATCACAGAATTGTCGAGTTGGAAGGGACCCTGAGGATCATCTAGTTCAGGAATGCAGGAATAGGTAGCTGTCCCATATGGCGATTGAACCTGCAACCTTGGCTTTAGCAGCACCATGCTATAACCAACAGAGCTATCCAGACAGAAAGAATGGATAGGTGAAGCAAGAGTCTAAGAGAACAGTGAAACAGGGCCAAGGGCCCGAGAAGGAAACATGCCAAGGGAAGTGAGTTGGGATACAAAGCAAGTGTTGACATTTAAGAGAGGGAGAAATTCAGGGGAGTAAGAGGGAGAAAAAGCTGGAGGGAGTGGGGAGAAAATGGGCAGAGGAGAGAGTTGTAGAATCATATGGTGATTTGAAACAATCAGCCAGATATTTGGCTACAGGACCTTAGTCTACTCTAATTTCCCCTGTTGCATAACAAGAATTAACAATAACTAGCCCAGAAGAATGTAAGGCCAGGGCATAGTATGCTCCAGCAGAACTTTTGTGCAGCTTTTCAAAGCAAAGCACCCTCACTCAGCACTTTTCACCACTTGTTCTCTCATTACGTATTAAATTTTTCCTGGCAAATTCTTGGTAACTTCGCAGGTCAAGGACTTGGCATTCAGCTCTGATCGCTTTCCAAAGTGTGTTTGAAATCTTAACCCCATAAACAATAACAAGAATATATGTTTTGTAGACTCTTTTTACCGGGAAACTTTTAAGATGCAAGCTTCAAATAGTTATTGTCTTGTTGCGGGAGCCAGACTTTCTAGTATATCTCATCTTTGTTGTTGCTGTTGTTGTTTAGTCGTTTAGTCGTGTCCGACTCTTCATGACCCCATGGACTAGAGCACGCCAGGCACTTCTGTCTTCCACATATGTATATATATCTCATCTTTATCTGCGAGCTAATACAGAAATGTGGGCTTGGGTGCCTTCTGATTAACCAAAAGATGGAAGAATGACTGTGGGCTGGAAAACCTGAATGAGCCTTCATAGCGTCTGCTGTGACGTCACAAACCACATTCTGCTGTTATAGTTACCGAAAGGTATTGGAATCCTGCGTATGGAGCTGGGTTAAATATTGTGAGAGTCACAGCTGAGGTGGGGGGGAAATCACAGGAATAGTGGCATCAGTACATTCGCTGCAGAGGTTTAATGCAGAAAGGCATTTTGGCTTTTAAGGGTAGAAATTAAGACTAATAAAGGGGAAAAAGGGCCGAGTAAGTTTGTAAGCTGTTGAAACATACTCCTGAAAAAGTGGTAAGATGCATTTTCCCATCCACTCTGCTTTTAAAAACACTCATTTTTTTTGCTCTTGTTTGTGGAGACATGGGATAGCTGCTTAGATAAACTTGCTCTAAAATATCTGAGACTGCATTATGGCCTCTGTCCCTTCAGTCAAGACAACTGCTGCCATACTTTCATTTTACTGACAACTTTGGAAGGGGGGCTGTAGTGGTTCAAGGGGTTGCTCGTGCGTAAGCCGGTGCAAACACCTGGCTGGGTTGCCTGAGTGAACCTTTTCTGTCCGGACAGCCACTCACCCGTGGCTGTCTCAATCGCTGGCAGAATCCGTCAGTGGGCGTTTCTTAAACTTCTTCCAGCAAAGAAGCTCTTTGACGCCTAGTCTCCTCCTACTCTCTCTGCGCGAAAGCCTTCTGCGCAAGGAGGGCGTAGGCAGCGGAGGACCTCTACTCTCCCCGCTGGTCCCCGGCAAGGAGTCATGGGACCGCCTCGTCGCTTCCTCCATCTGCCCCCCTTCTCCACTGGTGCTACGCTGATTCTCTTCCCCAGAAGATGGGCTGCCTCTCCCAATCCTGGGACACTCTCTGGAATCCCTCTGGATCTTGCTCTCTCCCTCCGGCACTGATGGCAGTTCCCTGACAGGGGCAATTTATAAATATTTACAAATAGGTTTATTATATTTTACAAATATTCTTATGCTGGGTTTAACCAAGGTTGTGTGTGAGAGAGCTTTGATTTTTATATCTTTTGTAAGCTTGTTGTGCACGCTAACCGGCTAGCATCTTGACCCATGCAGTAAGATTTGTAAGCAGCTTACCATGTGGCATTTGGCTATCAGAATCCACTCCATTTTTTTGTTCCTTTAATTTTGTAAGAATAATTCTTGGTACTTCCAGGCCACTATACAATATATTGATTAACTAGCTTCCCTACAGTTGAATTTGACTGGACTTAACCATCCAGGTGTCCTTTAGCTAACTAGTTTCTGTCCTCATTCTGCCTCCCTCTTCCCCACCTCCCAGTTAGTAAGCTGTTTCTGAAATGGATATTATTGGAATACTTTTGTAGCATCATAACACCAGCACCTAAGCAGCAATTGAAATAATGGTAAAGGTAAAGGACCCCTGGATGGTTGAGTCCAGTCAAACTTGACTATGGGGTGCAACGCTCATCTTGCTTCAGGCCGAGGGAGCTGGCATTTGTTTGCAGAAGAGTAGTTATTATTCTATACAAAATGTTTCTGGGAATCAACCCGCGCTAAGGGTGCTGCTGTGTGTTAACACTGACACTGCCTCCTGCAACAAACACATGGCATAATATATGAATGTTCGGGTCTTTAAGCATCCATGTTCACACTTCATGGAATACTGAATGGGCCAGTGTTCCTTCAAACTTGAATAAAGTTGTACGATGTGCACATTTCACATGTTTGCTGTTGGAAACACTGGTATAATTTCAGTGTCTCAGAGCAATCATTATGTGTACCGCTATCCGGAAGACAGATATAGACAGCAGTAATTTGGGGAAATTAATTGGACTCTTTGGATACATCTGATGGCTGGATTCCAGGCCTGGTTTGTAGGCCAATTTAGCCCACACGGGTTTCTTGTTGGTCCATCTGGCCTATAGGACAGTGTATATATAGTACAGTACACAATCTGTGTGCCCTGATTTCTTAGGATTAGTGCAGGGGTCTCTCCTGGGGAAAGACATCTTTCTTGATCCATTTCCAACCCCCTACTGCTTCTCACAATGTGTGTTCCAGTTACACAGTATAGCACATAGCTGGCAGCATGGGGAACTGTTGCTTGGATGTCTGTTCTTATTAGGGATGGGCAAATGTGTCGGTTTCGGTTTCTCACCATTTGTCATTTTTCGAAACTTAAGTTCAGTTCTCCACTTTATTTATTTATTTATAAGAGGTGCTCGTGATCATTTGTCTGCAAAATTTGCCTAACATGCACATTTTAAATGTAATTTTACCCAATATGCACGTTTTTGCAAGCACTTTTCATTAAAATGCATTTTTGTAAGTTGTTTTCTCTAATAATGTGCATTTTGTGAATGATTTACCCTAGCAGATGCATTTTTGAACATATTACTCCGGTGGTGAGCTGAGTTGCAAAATTCAGAGAAGGACGGTTTTGTTTTGGTTTGCATATTGCCTTTGAACGTGAACCTCTTTGAATTTCTCCCTACCTTTTAGTGACACAACTGAGAACCTCTCATTTCCTACTAGGACATCTGGTGTCCATTGTCAATTAAGAGGTTTAGCTTTTAAAATTTGTGCAGATGTAGGTTTTATTACGGCAACTGCAGTTTGTGCTCAGTCACTAGAAGTACCTGAAACCTCTGCCACAGTCCTTTAGCCCATCAGTTTTCCCAACAAGAGGCAAAGCAAAAGTATCATGTGTTGCTGTTTGAACAGAAGTGACATGATGCTGAGAATAAGTAAGTCTGGGTGTGGTTGGTGCTTGGGTGGGAGGCTTCCTAAGAAGTTGACTTATACTGAGTCTAGAACAACAATAAACTAGGCAGACCAGTTTGCCTCGGGAATGAGAATCCTATGCAAACTTCCCCGTGCTCTTGGACTCCAGCTCCCATCAGCCCCAGACATCATGGCCAGTAATTAGGGATGATGGGAACTGTAGTCTAGGAACATCATTGAGTTAGCTGACATGGGCTGGGGCAGGGCAGGGTTATAAAGAGGTTGGAGCTGCAAAGATGCACCAACAGAGCCAAGCCAATGCTCCTGCTGGTGAATTTGCACAGCCCTGACCTGACTGCCACCCCGCCACAGCCCAGCCCTGTCCGGGTAAGCTGCAGTGACAGTGCTGCCAAGAGCGAAGCCAATCCCCATAACGCTGACTGCCACTGCCGGTTCCTCATTCCTGGCAGCAAATAGCCAGGTTTTCAAACAAGAATCTTTCCCAGTCCCTTTCTTCAACCTTTAGAATGGACAAAAATCTCAATATTCTGGCAGGTATATTAATTTGGGAAGTTTGAAGTAAAGCTGATTGTTTTCTTCTTTTCATTTTATTATATTGTGGATTTTTCTTAAAAGAAATGAATTTATCTTAAAGGTTTCTTTCCCTGTATTGTGTGCATTCTTTTGTGTGTGCGAGTTTTACATTTGGTTATACATCTGTCTTTGAGTTTAGTCTCAATCTTTTAAAGGAAACTGTTTTAAGCAATTTACCAGTTCTGAACAGATAGAATTGACTTGCCACTTCGAAGAGAGGAAGCCTATAGTGGAAAGTCAAGCGGAAGACCTATATATAGCCATTGGTTGTAACGGTGTTGGTTTGGTGGTTGTGATTGCTTCTCTAAACAATTTCCTGGCTAGTTGATTGTGGCATTTGGAACCTTTAGCACACAGATGACACAGTGCTGCTGCTGATCAGTATCTGAGTGATTAATGCTTATTCATTTTATTTTTTTCTGGATGCTCCCAAATGAATTATCTGTGAAAGATAATTGGCCATCATGGTAAAATGGAACTCCAGTAGCCTTCATTTGCACATAATACTAAACCATAGTTTAGCACTACATGGGTGAGATTCCATGAGGCTTGAGTGAAGTGTCAGGTTCACACATTCCCCCTACATAGGAACATAGGTAGCTGCCATGTACCAAGTCAGAACCGTTGGCCCATCAAATTTAGAATTGTCTACACTGAGTGGCAGCAGATCTTTATGGTTTCCAGTGGGACATTCCCAGCCCTACCAGGAGAAGACTTACACTGAGTTTAGTTTTGCTTTCAAAGAATCTTGGCTTAGTGTTAGGGATTGCAGTTTACAACGTGGGTTATGAATTTGGCCTGTTTAACCATTGTTTGTTGTACTCAGGATTGCTTACTGCTGTGGGTCTAACAATATAATTTATAATGGATAAAGGTAAAGGTAAAGGGACCCCTGACCATTAGGTCCAGTCGTGACCGACTCTGGAGTTGCGGTGTTCATCTTTCTTTATTGGCTGAGGGAGCCAGTGTACAGCTTCCGGGTCATGTGGCCAGCATGACTAAGCTGCTTCTGGCGAACCAGAGCAGCGCATGGAAACACCGTTGAAGTGGTACCTATTTATCTACTTGCACTTTGACATGCTTTCGAACTGCTAGGTTGGCAGGAGCAGGGACCAAGCAATGGGAGCTCACCCCGTCGCGGGGATTCGAACCGCTGACCTTCTGATCGGCAAGTCCTAGGCTCTGTGGTTTAACCTACAGTGCCACCCGCGTCCCTTATAATGGATAGTTACAGGAAAATAACTATTGGTCATGCCATGATAAAAAGATGGATTCCCGGAGGCTGTAGTGGGGGAAAGAAGAGGAGGCCAGAACCTCAGAACGGATGAAACAAACTCTGATTCTTAGGCTAGGATGCTTCTCTCTCTCTCTCTCTCTCTCTCTCTCTCTCTCTCTCTCTCGTATGCAGGGATTAGTGTTTTTTATTGAAGCATTCTTTCTTCTCCCACCAACTCCCACCTCCAGTATCCTGAAGTGATGCAGTCCCAACCAGGAGGGCCAGACTGCGTACTTCTATAAAAAAGAGATTTGTCTGCCGCAAAGTGTCCAATGAATATTCCAAGGGGCTGCAGGGATGTGCCTGATTTTTCAGACATATTGTATCCTGAGGGTCTTGGTGGTTCATTTCAGTTTCATTGAAATTGGCAGAACTTAGCGCATGCTCTTAAAAAGTTGCCTAGAAATTTACTAATGCAATCACGGTCTCTTTATTACTTCCAGGGCTAAATCGGGATTGCAGCTGTCAGGACAAAATATCTTATGATGCCTAAAAGGAAAGAGAAGGAAATGCAAAGTGACGCATTAAGAAAACATTGACGTTTTTTCAGGTACGCATTGATCTTGGTATTTTTTTACTTGGCTCTCATACATAGGGTCATTTCAGCCTTTTAATGTAAAGGTCATGTATGCCAGTGATGCAGCGGTAAAGACTTTGGAGCATGAGCTCATGATGACACCAGCCCCATAGCCATGCCCCTAAGGAGAGTTCAAAAATGTAGGCCACGGTGTATGTAGTGTACTCTTGCAGCCGATAATACTCTTGTGTTGCCCCTGATCCTCTCAAATAAAAGCAACTATCAGCAACACTTCTCCTGAAACCTAGCTCTTCTAAGGCTTCATTCAGGCACAGTGTATGCATACCCACATCCCAGCAGCACTGTAGCACAATGCCCAGTCTCAGCTCACAGTCATAGACTTAGCACGTATATGTAAGCATCAAGCGTTCTTGGAGAGGCGATCACAGCCACTGTACTCCTTCCCTGGACCTTCTGCTGCTGCAGCGCTGTGATCTCAGCCATGATTTGGCTTTGTATGTTGCCCAAACCTGGGCTCATGATTTGTCTCTTCCAGGCGAACCATGAGCTGTAAATCCAAAAATCAAACATGGTTTGGTTAAGTGTTGTATCAGTTCATAGAAGAGAGCATAGGTGCCAACTCCCTGGGTGCCTGAGCATCAACAAAATTCCCTATGAAGGGGTTGGGTGCCCACAAATTTTGGTGCCAGGGCCATGTGGCATGGCACCCACGGCCCTCGGCACCCATGGTCGTGGGGCCAAGCTGGCACTCCTGGAAGAGAGAGATAGTGTTGTGTTTAGCACATTGGACTTCGTCTAGGAGTGTGAAAGAAATTTGTTTCAGTTTGCATTTAAATGCAGTTCACACTTTCTGAAACAATATGCAAACTGAAATACAGCCGTCCTTCGAAGTTCACATTTTTCTGAATTTTGCAGTGTAGTTCTCTTGCTTAAAAAAAAAAAAAAAGTGTACTAAAATGCACAAGCCAGGGTAAAAATTGTCAGGAGCTCGTCCTACTCTCGAGTAGAACCTTGGCAGAGACACATGCCCGACTGGCATGTTCCCTCCCTCCTGGTCAATTGTTTGGGAGCTTCAAAAGCTTTCTTCTGCCCGAACATCACAGCGACCGATGCCAACAGACACTGGCACACTTAGGGATCCACAGAGTCTTTGCAGCTTGCGTAACAGACCTCAGCAACCCAGCATTTTGGCTAATCTACTTTATTTACATATAAACACACACGGAGCACTGCAACATGGCTCCCTCTCTCTCTAGCGTCAGATAGCAAAGAGAATGAACAAAGGACAATAGTCTTACTTCACGGAACAAAGTAACACAAACATCCTGTCTCCGTCACTTCCCACTCTGTGGAGTCAAAACATACACTGTCATGTGAAAGACAACAATTCCATGACTGAAATCACGGAGCTGGAATTCTAACAAAAATGTGCATAAAAATGCATTAGTGGAAATAACATACAAAAATACAGTGGAACCTCGATTTGCGAGCATAATCCGTACCGGAGGTCCGTCCAGAGGTCGAAATGGGTCGCTGGGAGAGGCGCCGTTGTGCGTAAGCGCAGGCGGCAATTGCCCGCTTCTGCCCATGTGCGAATGGCGATTGCCCACTTTGCATGTGCAAACGGTGATTGCCGCTTCTGCGCATGCGCAAATGGCGATCACCGCTCCTGCGCATGCGCGAACAGTGGCAAACTTGCTGGTTACTTCCGGGTTTGCCACGGTCACGACTTGGAATGACCATAAGAAGAGGTGGTGGTAAGTAGAGGTTCAACTGTACATTATATTGGATAAAATTGGCTTTCAAAAATGTGTATATTGAATGGAAAGATGTGTACATTAGGGAAATTTACTCAGAATGCTAAAGAATTTTTCTGAGGATTTTTTAGAATTACAAACTGATGTGGATATGTGGCAAAGCAAATTTAAACCAGGGACAAAGAGAAACGGAGTGAACCAAAGTTGACAGTTCCTTGCATCTCTAGTTTGCGGACAGAGCTATATATACACCAAGCGACCCACCTGCTCAACTGCTGGAGAACTGGGAAAAACATGAACACTAAAGTCCTGTCATGCACAAGCTGCCATTTCATATGCCAGTGAGGCTCATTTGAACAGTTTAAAACAGACTGTTGGATAACTGTGTTAGCTTCTAACATAAATTTAATGTAAAGAACAGACCGTTAAATGCCTTTTAAAACAGCACAGCAAAGGTTATTGCCAGTAAAGGAGTGAACACAGCATGTTCTATATTCCAACCCTCCCACCCTCAGCCAAACTCACAATGCTGGCAATTACAGCTCCTGCAGATGATAGCATCATTCCTTCTGTGGAAAAAGTACAGGAGATGTCCTCCCCTTTGCTGCACCAGTGAAATATACTGTACTACACAAGTGAAATGCACACAAATATTGCAGTACAGTGGTACCTCAGGTTACATATGCTTCAGGTTACACACTCCACTAACCCAGAAATAGTGCTTCAGGTGAAGAATTTGCTTCAGGATAAGAGCAGAAATCGGGCTCCAGCGGTGCGGCAGCAGCAGGAGGCCCCATTAGCTAAAGTGGTGCTTCAGGTTAAGAACAGTTTCAGGTTAAGAACAGACCTCCAGAACGAATTAAGTACTTAACCCGAGGTACCACTGTATATCACCGTTCTTGTTATATGTGTCCCCCCTTTTTTATAGTCGCTATATTCCAATATTTGAAAATTATTATGTAATGAGAGAATCTCCACCTATTTCATCTAAACTTATCAACTAACTGAAAATTAGGCTGCTGCCTTTGCTGTTGTTGTGCCCCCTGCTGTGTCTCCTAGCCTTTAACTCTCCCTCAGACAAGCCATGGGACTGGGGGGGAGGGGAGTTGAATGGAAAGGAGAGAAAGTATCTGAAACTGGTAAATGTGATCCTGCCTATTTCTTTCCTCTCCCGTACAAAGGTAGTTCCTCCTTTTAAGATGCCCTGGAAGAATCCCAGTTATGAAATTATCCTCCTGGGAAAGTATGAACAGGCTCTGTCTCTCCCCCACCTCCCATTTTTGGTAGTATTTGAAGGTGTTTTTTTCAAAAAAATCAGATGTTTTTTGCACTTAGTAAAAGGTAAAGGTAAAGGACCCCTGACAGTTAAGTCCAGTCGCGAACGACTCTGGGGTTGCGGTGCTCACCTCGCTTTACTGGCCGAGGGAGCCGACGTTTGTCCACAGACAGTTTTTCCGGGTCATGTGGCCAGCATGACTAATCCGCTTCTGGCAAAATCAGAGCAGCACATGGAAACACCATTTATCTTCCCGCTGGAGCGGTACCTATTTATCTACTTGCACTTTGACGTGCTTTCGAACTGCTAGGTTAACAGGAGCTGGGACTGAGCAATGGGAGCTCACCCCATTGCAGGGATTCGAACTGCTGACCTTCCGATCGGCAAGCTCTAGGCTCAGTGGTTTAGACCACAGTGCCACCCGCGTCCCATTTTTATGCACTTACCTGAGAATAAACAACATTGAGTCCAGTGGGATTCACTTCTGAGTAAACAAGCTTAGAATTGCAGTGCATGCCTGCTGCTTTTTTTGGGGGGGGGTGTAATTTTTCATGCCCACTAAATGCTTCAAATGTGTTTATATTGTATTTCCCGCCCCCCCTTTATCTTTGGTTTATTTTAATGGCTTTTTACTTGGGATTCTGGTTATAGTATTTCCAAGGGAAAAGCTCTGGTTTATCATTTAATCTAACACCTGTGTGAATCATTGGCTGAAAGACTGCTCAAGGTCATAGTGGTGGTGCAAAAATCAACTTAGTAGCTGCAGCTGCATTGTCTTCCAGCACGTATATCCTCTAGTGCTGGGGAAAATAGGCCCTAGGGCTTGATTAGCTAAAGGGAAATCTAGCAATCTACCCTCCTGTTTCTAGGCCTTTTGGTATATAAGAAACCTGGCCATTGACTTGGTTCTGGGGCTGCATTCAGATGAAGGATCGTGTTGCTCTGTAACCATGTTTGTCTGGATGCAGTTTGCTGGTGCTCCTGTGACTCTAATGGTTGGTGTTAGGATGAGGCAAGTAGTTTTGGTCTGTACCCGAAATGTCGGAAGGGTCTTTCGTTTCTTAAACCACAACTTTAGTATAAAAGGGTTCTCTTTGCTGTCTCTTAATAAAGCATTTGTCTTTATTGGTGTGGTTTCTTACTGTAAGCTGTGGCACCTGCCTGCTTTGCTTGGTCATTGCTACTGTGTACCTTGGGGGCTTGAAAGGCAAGGAGTGGATCATTGTCTCTTGCCTGGCTGAATCCCAAAGGGTGTCCACAAACAGATCTGAGTGTTCCCTGACTCAGATTGGGGAGGGGGGCTTTTCAGGGCTGGTGGCAGTACTAACAGGCAGGGTTGGTTTTCCCTGGGCATTATTTGGTTAGCTAACTCCTTCCCCTAAGCAGCCTCCAAATCTTACAGATGCGTTTTGGGATTCTGTATGGCTTGATATTGTATCTCTGCTACACTCCCATCTGACACTTCCTGTCTTGTTGTGTGTTTCTCTTCTGGGAAAAGAAATCCTCGCTTCAGGTGCAAGCAGTCTTGGGTGACCTCCAGCTACACACCTGCACTTTCATTTGCTTTATATCAGTTGTTTGCATTCAGCATTAAGCCCTTCCAAGGATATGTCTGCTGTGGGAAGCAAAATTTACTGGCAAAAGCTGCAAATCCCTGATCAGCCATGAAACGCACTGGGTGACCTTGGGCCAGTCACTGCCCCTCAGTCTAACCTTCCCCACAGGGTTGTTGTGAGGATAAAATGGAGAGGAGGAGAACTACATACGTACAGCACCTTGAGCTCCATGGAGGAAAGGTGGTATATAAATGCAATAAGTAAATAACAACTTTTTTCCAGTAGACAAGTTGCTTGTTAGGAGAGGGAGCTTCTTTCAGAGAGCATGCCTTCCATGCTTTATAAGAAATTAGGTATTC